AGGTGCAAAACCGACCTTTCCTCGATCGCTCAGATTTTCACCGACGCGTGTCGGAAACATGTTCCCCAGAAGAAACGGGGGTTCGCTTCGTTTTCACAAGCAACGAGCGATGAAAAGACACTCACCGGTTTTCCGCCCTTTTGGTTTTGTAGCGCGTCGGAGCATGAAGAAGAAAGGCCGCCACCAGCGCCCGGCGGCGCTGAAGAGGGACTCGTCGCCCATCAAGCCGTCACCCAATCGGGAGACGCTGACGTACGCGCAGGCCCAGCGCATGGTGGAGCTGGAGGTGGACGGCCGCGTGCACCGGCTGAGCATCTACGACAAGCTGGACATCATCGGCGACGACGACCCCACGGCTCAGGAGATCCTGGAGTGCAACAGCAACAAGGAGAACAGCGAGAAGCCCCAGCAGGCGCCGGTGCGCTCGGCCCGCCTCCAAAACAGCCAGCGCAAGAAGAACGCCGCGCTGGCGGTGCCGCCGCCGCCGCACGGTGGCACCGCCCACCCCGACTCCCCGCTGGAGGCCAAAGTGAGAACGGTGGAGTACAACCTGCCCGTGGTGCCCAAGAGGCCGGCGACGTACTACGCCTACGCCGAGCGGACGGCGGAGGAGCTGGACGAGGAGGTGGAGTACGACATGGACGAGGAGGACTACGCCTGGCTGGAGCTGCTCAACGAGAAGCGCAAGAGCGACGGCATCAGCCAGGTGTCGCACAACCTCTTCGAGTTCCTCATGGACCGCTTCGAGAAGGAGTCGCACGCCGCCGCGCGGGGCCGCAGCGAGCCGCAGTCGCTGGTGGACGAGGACGCCGTGTGCTGCGTGTGCATGGACGGCGACGGCGCCGACAGCAACGTCATCCTGTTCTGCGACGCCTGCAACATCGCCGTGCACCAGGAGTGCTACGGCGTGCCCTACGTCCCCGAGGGCCAGTGGCTCTGCCGCCACTGCCTGCAGCGCCCGGCGCGGCCCGCCGACTGCCTCTTCTGCCCCAACCGGGGCGGCGCCCTGAAGAAGACGGACGACGGGCGCTGGGGCCACGTGGCCTGCGCCCTGTGGGTGCCCGAGGTGGGCTTCTCGGACACGGTCTTCATCGAGCCCATCGACGGCGTGCGCAACATCCCGCCCGCCCGCTGGAAGTTGACCTGCTACCTGTGCAAGGAGAAGGGGGCGGGCGCCTGCATCCAGTGCGACCGGGTCAACTGCTACGCCGCCTTCCACGTCAGCTGCGCCCAAAAGGCCGGCCTCTTCATGAAAATGGAGCCCGTCAGGGAGGAGACGGCGCCGGGCGCCTTCTCGGTCAAGAAGACGGCGTACTGCTGCAGCCACACGCCCGACGGCTGCGACCGGCGCCCGCTCAACGTCTACGAGGAGCCGCACCCCAAGAACGGCGCCTGCCACAAGCGCGCCGAACGCCGCGGCAGGGCCCGCGCCAAGGCCTGGTGCAAGAAGCGCAGCAAGCGGCCCGAGCCGCCCTCCGAGCCGCGGCCGGAAACCGAGGGCCCGGCCAACGCCGGGCCCAGTATCACCTCTTCCAGGTAGGCCGACGCGCTCACACAGATTTGGCTTTTTTCCTTCACCATAGATGAACACGCCGGGGATTCTAAGACGCCTCCTGCTCGGTTTCGCCCCCATCAAAGTTGAGATAATAATTACCGTATTTTCCGCACTATAAGGCGCAGCGAAAAGTCTTCCAT